CATGATTGCTGAACAGAATGAATTAGGATGCTAGACTATCAAGACTGCATTGCATGTCTAACATGTGTAGATTTCCCTGGCATTGTATGCCATATGCCAAGTAAATATTCATCCAGATACTTATTGCTCACTGATGTAATAGTAGCTTTTTCTTAACATTCTAGGTTCCAGTAGCACAGTTGCTTTGGATAACACTGGAAAGAGATAATCTTGCTAAAGATATAGGTATGAAGGACAGGATAAAACAAAGAGTTACTCAATGCTACACAACTGGCTATTTTCATGTTGTAACATGTGTAACTGGTCAAAGAGAACTATTGTGTTGTATGAATATAAAAGCCCAGTCAACTAAAGTAGATCAAAACAGCCTAGTCCTAGATACTGAGGAGGATAATACTTTCTCCTACTCCTGAGACTGTAACAAAGACACAGAACAGCCCCATTAAAACAGACTGGTTTTATAAATTCTATATTTTTTCACACACACAGTCTAAAAGCTGAGGGATTAAAATTAGGAAGGGTGGAGATGAGTAAGTCACTCTCTGTTGAGTTTGTGAGGGGGCCAACTCTACCTGCTGCTTAAGAATGATGTGTTTCCCATGAGGGAAAGTCTGAGTTAGTTGTGCTAAGTGTACAAAGCCACTTAGTAAAATATGTAGCTTGGCACTAAGAAACCAGGACAATGTTTCATTTAGCCAGTCTAATGTCTTCTTTCTCTGGCTGGAATCAGGAGGTCACTTCTGTGTTTATTTTCAGCACACATGCCTCTTTCTGTCTGGCATCTTTTAGATAATCTGAATTTCAGTTAAACAGATATTCCAGAACGTTTCATTCTGGAAAAACAGTGAAATGGTTGAATATGTTCACTGCAACGTGTTCTAAATCTACAGCTTATTAATTCTTCTCCAGTATCACACCCTGAATATTTTGATAGGAGTACTACGCCATGCAATAAGACAAAATACCTTGTTCATGGAATGGGAAATCATTCATTTTCTTTGATAAGAATTTGTTCTTCCCCTTCCTGATTTTAGTGTGATATATTTGAAGCCATTCCAATTAGAATAAAACAAAGTTACATAACTTGAAGTGGAGAAAACTTTGTGGAATGACTCCAGAATGACGCTTTTAGTCTTCTCTCAAGCATGGAGTGAAAAAAGAAAGTGCCATGCCTCATGTTTATACCAACACATTTTACTGGAAAGTTACTAGGCCATACTTTGAATATAACTGTGAAGAAGAGCTGCAGACTTGCCTATAAACGTAGCACTGAACTGCTATTCATTAAAATAGCCCTCTCCTCCCCTTTTCAGGCTTTTGTGTAAATCCAGAAAAAGAAAAAAAAAGTATCTGCTTTACCCTGAGACTTCAAGTATCTGCAACCTTTTATTTTATTTTTTGGCTTCACACAACCTTAACAACTAGAAGACAAGTCTTTCTTTTATACTCCTTAAACTGCAATTTAAATATTATAAACCAAGCTGACCTATGATGATAAATAAGGTAATTGCCAGCAGATTCTTTAACTCTGTGACTTTTAGAAGGGATACTAAAATGAGATACCTTGAAAGTGTTAGGCAACATTGAACATGATGTAATTATACTTCCAACATGCATTGAATGACTTATAGCAAAGCTATATGTGACTTGGTTTTACAGGCATTTACAACCATTGTTATGGCACTTTTACTGAGGAAAGTCTACAAAGTAAATATATAATGACTTTGGAATTAATATGGTTTATCTGAATTTGACTAAGAAACCTATGTGAACTCTTGTGGTTTGTAAACCATAGTTTATGATCTCATATATGAGCTCAGCCCAATTGTGATAAGATCAACAAACCAAACCATGACTATGGATCAATGTATTCAACCCAATGCATGTAAGTTTCACTGAAAACAACAGGATCTGTGACCAATTGGAGTAAATTTGAGTTTTAAACAAGAAGCTTATTGTATTTTTCCACTGTCCAATCACAATATTTTAAAAAATGGTCACAATCCAGTCTTTCAAATTTCCAACTTTTTCAAACAATGAATAATTTTATTTGGAAATCAACCAGAAATGGTGTCAGAAAAAGTTTTCCAGTTATTCTATACGTGAAAAAACAACAACTGGCAGTAACATTTGTGTCCCATTTTCCCCCAGACTATAGATTTCTGTAAAGTTCAGAGTTGCTGGGATGGTATATAATGTAATAAATTATTGTTCCTCCTACTAGCACTTTTATTAATCTGCTATAAGCAAAATTTGTTCCTTTATCTAGTGCAAAACACAGAATTAATTTAACAGGCCACTCCTGGGAAACAAACCTCCTAAAATTAAAAAGATTGGACAAAAAGCTAATAGCTCCCACTTGTAAAGTAATTTAGAAAGGATGATATATAATGCACTTTCTTTCATGGGAATACGATTAATATCAATACCTTTTAACACCTTTTAAAATTACTGCTTAGATTAGCAACCTTTCTACATGTCTTCTTTACTGATATACTGGGTTCTCAGTAAAGGCAAATTAATGCTAGATATGGTTTTATTTATTCCTTTCTCAGTTTTATTATTACATTATTACAATAGCCTAGTTTTAATGTCAGTTTCAAAGTAATGGCATTATATGAGGATCTAAATTATTGGCTTTCTACATAATCCAAATATGTAACATATTTATATATGTAAACATTTAAATATATGCAAAATTCTTGAGGGGCTGCTACAAAGAAAAGGGGGTCAACCTATTCTCCAAGAATATGAAGGCAAAACAAGAAGCAATGGATGGAAACCAACCAAGGAGAGCACCAATCTGGAACTAAAGAGAAATTTCCGGACAGTGAGAACAATTAACCAGTAGTTATGGGTGCTCCGTGGAGTTTTCAAGAAAATATTGGACAGCCAGTTGTCTGGAATCTCCTGCAGGATCTCCTGCTGGAGTATGGGGTTAGATTAGTTAACCTTCCAGGATCCTTCCAACTCTGTTATTATGTAAACAACTCTTTGATATCACGTCTAAATGTTAAGTACAAGTCTTGAAATAGAACATATAACACAAAATCTTCTCTTCATCTAAAGAAACTAAAGGGGTCATGTACTAATGGGAAAAGAAGATTTGTCCTGAACTGAAAAACTTCTATTGGCAGATAATTTTTTTTAACTCTTCCCCACCAAAACAACCATCTTCATGATTCTAGTCTGTATTTACAATGGATAATTCTGCATATACTTGTAGTGAAAACGGAGGTTATCCCTGTACAGTATATTTTGCCATCTTTTTTCTTTCTTGTTGAGTACACTTTTTTTAGGCTGCTTACTCAATTTCTTCTATCTAGCATTTGAGGAATGGGAGTGTCATTTTTTTTCACTTTTCTATTATTGCAAAACTAGAACCAGGTTTAATGTATTTGAACTCTATATAGCCTACTTTGAAAAGTTCCATCTATCCAAAGTTAAACATATTGTAAATTACATTGATACCAAGACAGACACTGAAGCACAAATTTAAATTCCACTGAAATAAGTTTTGTGCTATGATTTAGACCCACTTAGATTTTACTTGATCATTCTTCTGTTTTTTTTCAGATATTCCTTTGAATTATCAACCTAGACATACTGTCTAACCTTATCTTTACAAATACAAAAGTCTATAATTGACTAATTATGCCACTTTAACAAACTCAGTGCAATTATCAGAAAGATTCCATGAACAAGTGTAAGAAATTGTTTGATACTTTTTACTGTTAGGAAGAACAAGGTACCTTTTATTTTTGAAGACAGAGTTAGGAAATGCTTTGGAGTTATCAAGATGACTGATTTGAATACTGAAGATATTCAAGGAAACAACTCCTTTTTAATACGTAATTAAATCAGCAAGCACAGGAGAACAGCTGGGCTAATGAATACTGTACCCTTTTCAAGTTTACATGTAAATATAACCAATTCTTTGAAAAAATGTGTGTACTTTTTTTATTAAAAGCTATGTATTATCAACATTTTATTGCCAAATCATAACTGTTTAGAATGTTGGTGGGCTTTGTATTTCTCACCTAACCAACATCAGTAAAATGAAAAAAAAATCTGATTAACAGTAAGCAAGCTATAGCTAAGAAATTGTATGCTATACTTGAAGGCCAAGTATTAAAGGCCCTAATTTCAGAATTATTTGTTCTTTCAGCAATAACTAAGAATTTTAAGGTAACATTTTTCCTTTCATTTTTTTTTAATGTGGTATGGCGGTGTGGCTCTGCAAATACTAAGAAATGTTCTTATGTCTTTAACACCATGAGCCATGGCCCTGCAAGTGCTGATTAGGCATATCACTAATGAATGTTTCAATGATTTATATTGGTAAAGGTATTAATCTCCCTAGATAGTCTATACTCCAACAGACAAGGTGAACACTGCTGAATCTGTCCCTCCTTAAGAACTGGGGTAGATCTGCTCAATCGGAATGACTCCATTGCAAAATGACACTCTGATTTCCTGTGTCCTGCCCCACCTTGCAGTCTCCACTTCCAGGCAGAAAATAAACACAATCCAGACTAACTAGGTATGCTCCCATCCAACTCTGTTGCCTACTTGAATCACAGTGATCAAATGAATCATGATACTGTTCTTTAGAACTTGCCTTGAATCCAAATTCAAGGGAATACAAATTCTTCCGATCTGTTCCATTATCCTTTCAATTCTTCATCTTCTTTCTCAATGAAAAAGAAAAGTGGCAAAAGTGGGAAACTTGTACCCACACACATTGTTTGCAGCTTCAAATAAACAGCCTGCTCAGAACTACCCGGTGTTATTTCAAGGGTGAGGAACTATGGCCCTTTTATGACTTGTGGACTTCAACTTCAAAGTGGAAGTCCACAAGTCATAAATGGGACACGGTTCCCCAGCCCTGCCCTATTTGAAACAAAATGGGCATATCTAAGGCATCTCCTGAGGGTCTTGGTTGAAATTCCCTAACAAAAACATACAGACTGAATTGACGTAAGCTTGGCAAAACTCACCATTTTCAGGCTGGTCCTTAATATCAGCTTCGCTTGGCTGGCTGGGACTTTCTGACTGACTTGAATCTAAAAGACATAAATATGGTCCAAAATTATAAGAACTGACTGTGGAAAAGTAGCCAGTTTTATAATCTGAGGCATTTTTAATAGACAAAACCTAAAAAAAAAAAAAATAGCCCACACAGGAGGCAAGAGGGTGATTTACATTAATGTTTAATTTTTACAGGATTTTTTTTTAATCCTAAGCCAAAATTCATCATTTAAGACTTCAAAGCCTATACAGGTGTAAATCCTCAACTGTCAAAGTTATAATAGATCCCGTCCAAAAAGTAATTACAACCTGCTTCTAAAGTTCCAACAGTCAGACCCTCCACCATAGTCTCCACCATTCGGCCACTTGGCAACTGGTCCACACATATGGCCATTTGCATTGGTCATGTGACTTATGATATCTTTGTCAAAACCATTTACTTCTGGTGTTTGGCAAAAATGCCCCATAGCAAACAATGGTTGTGTTTAATGATGGCAGTGTTCGCTTTACAACCAACCGCAAAAAAAGGTTGTAAAAATGGGTCCAGCCATGTGGTGACTTGCTTTACAACCATCACAACTTATGACTGTAACAGGCAGGCTCCATTAAAATCAGAGCTCAAAGACTATTATATTACCAGTGAGGACCTGGGCTTTGTATTCCAATGACGTTTTAATATATATAAAACATTTCTAATATTTTTATTTTTTTTAATTTATATTTCTTAACTGCCCATCTCCCTAGGAGGAGATATTCTAATGCTATCAAAATTCATTAAAATGCTAACTACTTGCCATTAAAATATTATTTTTCATATTTATATGAATTACCTATGCTTCTATAAAAATACAGAATAAGCCGTTTTAATTTATAGATCCTTCTTAGTGAATTTTAATCTGAAAAAAAAAAAAGCTAGGAAAATGAAATGAGGGCAATATTTTTTTCTTTGTCCTAGAAGCAGGAAAATCTTTTTTTTTTTTTAAATGTAGCTAATATAATAGCTAGCTCCCCCTACCTTTTTTAAAGTTAAAAGTAACCACAGAACATTTGAGCTTGATGCAGACCAATAAAGGGTGTGCAGGGGAAGAGACCAATTTCCCAAATTAAATCTAACTACCTGCCTCTTGCTTTGACAAAGAGCAATTGGCTAAATAAAAAGATGACTTCTGGATAATGTAGAGCAGTGACCCTCAACTTTTTGGCACCAAGAACCATTTCTGTGGAGAGAGGTTTTTCCGTGGATGGATGGGGCGTGGTTTTATATGCTACCTGCATCCCACTGATGGGGCTTCACTTGTTTGCACAACCTGCTTGCTGGCAGGCCACGGACCAGGGCTTGGTGACTCCTGGTGTAGAGTATGTGTATATCCAACCCATAATGCAAACTGGGATGAAATGGGGGATAAAGGTATAAAGCCTCGTTATGATTCAGTTTCATTGTATTTGGTTTTTTAAAAAATAACAAAATATTTACTGATTTTAAGGGGAAGCCGCCAGATAGGTCAAGGGGAACCGCATCCCCCCTCCCTGGGCTAGGCAATTTCCGCCCCCCCCAAAGATGACTGAGCGGTGGTCTAAAATGGTCACCCTGAAGAGGAGGACTTAGTTGGACTAAGATTTGTGCAGGAGAAGAAAAAAAGGGTGTACAACATAAGAACTGGGACAACTTGGTGCAACAATTAATTAAAAGGTACCCCAGGACGGTATTTTAAGAATTTTTATCAAAGAATAAGAAAGCGGCAGATTTTTAAAGGGAAAGGGGAAAAAAGTGAAAATATCTTTGACAGCTGAGCAGGGCTTCGAACCAAGAATAATCTCAGCAGACTATGATACATTAAAATATTTAAAGACAACAATCATATACAAATGCTCCCCCAAGCTGAATGCCAATGTTTAACAGGGACTGAAGGGTTGGTGAAATAAAACTGTGCTCAGTGATTTTCTAAGTGACACAAAGAAGAGTACTTTACAATAAATATATCCAGAATAATAGGAGCCAGGTAGTGTACACACAATACAGAATAACAGAGTTGGAAGGAAGCTTGGCAGTCTTCTAGCCCAACCCCCTCATCAAGAAGGAGACCCCATACCATTTTCAGACAGAATTCCAGTAATGAAGCACCCACAAGCTGTTCCAATGATTATTCTCGCTGACATAAATTTATCCTTAATTCTGAGTTGGATCTCTATTGGTTAAGCTTCCATCTGTTACTTTCTGTTCTGCCCTCATATGCTTTGGAAAATAGATTGACCCCATCCTTTGGGACAGCCCATAAAATATTGGAAGATTGATATTATGTCAGCCCTAGACCTTCTCTTTCTCATACCCAATTTCTGCCAACTGTTCATTGTACGGTTTGGCCTCCACTCCCCCAATCATCTTTGTTGCTCTTTTCTAAACAATCCCCCATCTTTTGGTATTGTATTGATTATATCGTTATTATTAAATATAAATGTGTATATAAATGTAATACATTATTATTATTAGCAATAGTTTCAAAGCATGAAGAAGTTCAGTGTCTTTCCATTTCCCTGTAACTTTAGACTCAGGAAGAACATGAGCAGACTTTCCCCAAAAGTCACTGGATTGATTAAACTCCATTAAGGCAGAGTTTGATGTAAATGAACTCCAGGGGATGGAGGAACGTTATCCATGAGGTTGCGATGGGTCAGACAACATCAACAATAACAACAGCAAAAAAATGATATCTGTTATGCCTTCTTCTGGATCATGAAGCTCTTCAGATGGGTGGCTACCCATGGGTGGCTACCCATGCCTCATGGTTTAATTATTGCAATATACTTTTACATGGCCCTGTCCTTGAGGATCACTTGAAAGATTCAATTGGCCCAGTTGTAGGCAATGATGGGTATACTTGAGTATGTCCAGAGGACGCCAATGCTTTGAGATTCGACAAGTTGCTAGCTTGCTTCAGTGCAATTCAAAAGCTGATTATGACTTCATAAGTCCCACCTGAAATACAGCACAGTTATTTGAGGGACTGTCTATCTCCCATATACAGTATCTGCCTGGTCAATTTGAGTCAAAAGGATAGTTCCATTGATCAAATATTATCATCTATATAAGAACTCAGGAAGTATGCCTCCTGTTTCAGCACTTGCCCTCTAAAAAAATAAGATTTTTTTTAAAACCATGATGCTGGGATTCTTCTTGTTGGCATTCCAGAATATCATAAAGACCTGGCTATTTTCCCAGGCCTTAGGATAGGGTGGCTGGAGTCTCCCACTCAATGTTGTGGGATGTTTGAATTGTTGCCAGGTTTACCATCTTATTGTTTTTCTTGTTTTCTACTATGATTTTTGTTTTGAGTTTCTTCTTATTACATTTATTTTATTCTGTTGTGTTATTGTGAGCTACACAGATTCTCATTTTGGAATCAGGCAACATAAATAGAATGAATTAATAAACAAGTAATCCACTTAATTTTTCCATGTATTTAGTACACTGTATACCTAATGGTTTGTATGAGACTGCTTACAATGGTGTATTTTATCCTTCTCCAGAATAAGATATTTTAAAAAAACTCTTAATAGCTGGTTCAACATTCATCCTATTTTGATATTTCATTTAAGCTGTAATGATTGCCAAAAGTCCTCTTTGCAAAAACACAAATTTCAGGAAATAGTAGTAGGATCATCAGTGACAATGCTCAGGGTTTGTGTTTGTGAATGTGTCTGTATATAACACATAGCTTAAGAAACATTTCTTTGCTATATTTTCATCTTAAAAAAATAATCACAATAACAAGTTCTCTGGATTCTGATATTTTCCACTATGTAATGCATTTTTCTTAGAACAATCTAATGTCTGTGTTTATAACATGAGAAAGGATTTCCTTTTTTCATGTTAGAAAGGCACAGATTTAAAATCTGACTGCTGATACCATATCATGGAAAGCTTACCGGATACAGTACTCAGAAAATTAAACAAGAACTTCATTGAAACAAGAACTTCATTGTCTCTCTTAAATAAGAATAGAATTATAACAGGAAATGCTTGCTTTTACATGGACAGAAGTCATACAAAGACTACATGTTATCTTTAGCATGTCAAACCCCCCCCTCAATTTCAGCTGCTTTTGATCACACTGACCACAATATGCAGATGACACCCAGCAATATCTCTCAAATCTCAACTAAGTGAGATAACACCAGGGGAAGGAAATGAACTGGATGAGAGCCAGCGAACAAAAACTTAATCTTGACAACAAGAGAGCAGTGTAAGTAATTCCCAAGTACAGAAAGTGAAGAAACTGAAGGGATTGCATTTTCCAGATGGAGCTTAAGGAATAGTCCCATATCCAGCTTGTCACTAGAAATCCTTTTCTAGACAGGAATGCACAGCACAATAATCCATTACTTTGCATCTTTTCCTCTCTGTTGCTTTTCAGAAGTAAATAAAGAACCTTCAGAAAACCTAAGAAAGCTTGGAAAATATTATGCTTATTTTCTATGATCTGTACTGGTTGTTTGTTTGCTTTTGAATGTATTTTATTATTTTATTTTTGAGTTAGAAGGCCAAAATGCTTTGATACCCGAATATTTATACTGGCATGGACTAATCTGACCTTTAAGATCCTTGAAAGAAGTCCTAATTGTGGTGCCATTATTGGGAGCAACAATTGAGGTAGTTGTATCTTTGCCTAGGCCTTTCGCTTTCCTTGTTTAATATTTTGCTACCTATTATTGCAATATTTTTTCAGGTGTTTGTTTTTTGGGGGGTGACACTATTATAATTATGTATATGCTATGTGGCAGTGCAGGAATCAGAATATCTAGCTAGGCTGAATTTTCTCTCTCCTTCATTTAGAACTAAGAAATGGAACTTCTAGAGATGGATTAAAAGTTAACCAAGGGGATTTTTCTGCTATGTTATAGTCCAGTGTTAGACTGTTGACATGCACATATGCCTCCCATCTCATATCTAAAGACTCCTGTTATTAGAGGTTATTAGAAAAGAAATGGTACAGTAGGTTTCAAGACTCTAAGGATGGAATTAATATCATAAGTGTTA